CTTTTTAATATACAAGAAAATTTAAATAAATGAACTCTTTGATATTTATATTCTCAGACTTCACTTATCTTTTACTATTTATGCATCTTTTAAACCCGGGTTACACCTACAATATGTACAAAAGTAACAAATCTAGCTCCTCTAGATGCAGATGTGCACACGAAGCAGAACAGGCCAGCTCTGGCAGTCTCGACTGGTCCCATTTTTCAGTCGCCCCATTCAAACACAAAACGGTATCCTATTTTGGTAAAAACGAAAAGCACGGTATGTTTCGAGTAATTAACATACAGTTGTAAATTGTAAATTCAAATGAAAAAAGCAGCAAAGATTGTCATTCATACAGAGTTATTATGTGAATTGTAGGGTGATTAATTGTAGATAATGTTACAGATTTTTCCTATTGTTTTCAAAGACAGTGTGCCATATTACTGTAAATGAATATATTTTCAACATATTAGCAGTATAAAAATCAAAACAAATCACCCATTGTCAGTTTATAGAAATTTAATATAGATATTACAATCATTTACTCTTTTTGATTTAATGGTAATTTAAAGTTGCCATTTTACAGTTTTTTAGGGTAATTTTTACATACATTTCTTACAGTGCAGTTGCAAAAAAAAAGAAAACCATAAATTTCACACCCAAGGCTCAGCTCTCGCGGCCTGGTAGCAAATGACTCACAGACTGGTCCGTGGCCTGGGGGTTGAGGACCGCTGCCTTATAGGACAATTAACTACTAGTTCTTTTCTAATAATGTGTCACTGAAGTATAGATCATGACTGTTGCTGGTTATTTCCTGTCATGTTTAAAAGCTGAGGCTCACATTACTCTGTTGAACCATTCAGTCCTCAGCTCCATTGAAAACGAATCCTTCATGCTTTTTTCAGTTTTATTATCCTATAATGTAAAAACGTCAAAAAAAATTTCTATATATTTCTACACTTTTCCATTGATATTACATTAATCCAGACAATGTTATAAAAATGCAAAATGCAAACAATGCATTAGTTGTATGACATCCTTATATGCTCTGTTGTTTGTGTTACCCCAGAACTCTAAATAGAAACATATTATAAATATAATAAAAACATAATACAAATTTGATTTGTCACAGTTGCCTTGTTTATTTATGTGAAAAATACAAATTTTGTTTATAAACATCTAAAAGAACCAGCTCGAATAACCTGTAAAGGATGTAATCATGCTCAGTTTCACTTTAATATACCAATTTATTTATAAATCTTAAAAAACTATGGAAAAGTCTGCACTTCACAAAGACAGCTGACTGAAAAGCACGTCACACTCAGTGAACAAATTTCCTTCGTGAGTGAAACACAGATGTCTGCTGTGGTTTTGTGATGTCCCATTTTCATATAGCATAAAACCAAATGTATGTTTTTTTAGATCCTGAACAAATCCATGAGAAAATCTGAAAGACCCAGGAGGCTGCTGCTACAACTTTAATTCATGTGAACTAATTTAAACCGAACTCCTGCTGGAAGGAACAAAATATGAAGAACAAAATAACTGAAAATGAAACCTGACACTGTACAAACACAGATCAGTCTAATGTGCTGTGCCTAAAGCTCATCGATAAAAACATTCTCATGAACATCTCCAGCATGTTTCTAGCTCATATCCATGCTCTCTGTGGCTCCTATACCCCCACC